CCCATTTTGTGTGGTTTTAAAGAGAAGCCGAAAGGACAACCGAATCCATTTCAGGGGTAACCTACACAAGACACCCCATGGCCCGTATCATATGTCATTGTACCTGGAGCCATCAGAAGAGAGCTGGCGCACCCCCCTGTAAAGTTTTAAAGGACAATTAGGAGCGATGAGGAAGGAATGTGGGAGAAACAACAACCGCCTCCTTGCGTGTTTGAAGCATGAGCATGCTCACCGGTATTGAAGTTATGACAGCGAGATCATTATCTACTCAGAGTTGTTCTTGGTAGGGGGTCGCTGGCAACGAAGCAGTGACTCATGTTGCTTATGCTGCTCAGCTGTCATCCATCAAGCTTGCGCAGTCAGATCACCCCCTCTCATCCCTTCCGTTGCAGACACGTCTTGCATGAAGGCAACCAAGACCATGAAGGCGATGAAGGCTGCCAAGGCCATGACCAAGGGGGGCATCGTGAGTGAGCTGGCCTCGGCGACAGACATGAAGAAGTCTGAGGTGTCGCAACTTCTTGGACAGCTCTCCGAAATCGGAGCGAAGGAGGTAAAGGCAACCGGCAAGTTCGTGATCCCGGGACTGTGCATGATCAAGACGCGCACGAAGCCAGCCACCAAGGCGGGCAAGCGGATGATGTTCCTCAGTTTGGTTAGAGCAACCTGTTGTGCTTTGTTTTCATAGCTTGCTGAACCTTTCTTGTTGAGTGGAGGTGAATCAAGTGAAGCATGTTTCCCTTGTTCTTTAGCCCAGGTTCGGCAAGGAGGTGGCCATCAAGGCTCAGCCTGCGAAAACGGTGGTCAAGGCATTCGCAGTTTCAGCTCTGAAGAAGCAGATCTAAAACGTTCTGCCTGCGAGCTGTACAGCCTGTGACCTGGGGTGCTGATCGATGGGGCTTGGCGAACAGCGCCTAGGGGACCCAGGCTGAACTTGATGCGGCATGGTTGTTTTAATCACAGCCATGTCATGCCGCAATTGTGGTTTCCAAGTTGTACATTGTACCTGGAGCCATGAGAAGAAAGCTGGCGCGACTCAGTGCGATGGTTGTTTTGGGGGGGCGGCAAAATTGGCTTTTGGCGACAATGTGTTGCTGACTCAGAGTTTCCAGGTATACAGGGGTTTGCTTGGGGTTCCTGGCAACAAAGCAGTGACTCATGTTGCTTATGCTGCTCAGCCGTCATCCATCAAGCTTGCGCAGTCAGATCACCCCCTCTCATCCCTTCCGTTGCAGACATGGCTCCCATGAAGGCAACCAAGACCATGAAGGCGATGAAGGCTGCCAAGGCCATGACCAAGGGGGCATCGTGAGTGAGCTGGCCTCGGCGACAGACATGAAGAAGTCTGAGGTGTCGCAACTTCTTGGACAGCTCTCCGAAATCGGAGCGAAGGAGGTAAAGGCAACCGGCAAGTTCGTGATCCCGGGACTGTGCATGATCAAGACGCGCACGAAGCCAGCCACCAAGGCGGGCAAGCGGATGATGTTCCTCAGTTTGGTTAGAGCAACCTGTTGTGCTTTGTTTTCATAGCTTGGTGAACCTTTCTTGTTGAGTGAGTGAATCAAGTGAAGCATGTTTCCCTTGTCCTTTAGCCCAGGTTCGGCAAGGAGGTGGCCATCAAGGCTCAGCCTGCGAAAACGGTGGTCAAGGCATTCGCAGTTTCAGCTCTGAAGAAGCAGATCTAAAACGTTCTGCCTCGAGCTGTACAGCCTGTGACCTGGGGTGCTGATCGATGGGGTTTGGCGAACAGCGCCTAGGGGACCCAGGCTGAACTTGATGCGCTGCATGGTTGTTTCAATCACAGCCATGTCATGCCACAATTGTGGTTTCCAAGTTGTACATTGTACCTGGAGCCATCAGAAGAAAGCGGCGTGACCCGCTGCGATGAGTTGTTTTGGGGGCGGCAAATTGGCTTTTGGCGACAATGTGTTGCTGACTCAAAGTTTCCAGGTATACAGGGGTTGGCTTGGGGTTCCTGGCAACGAAGCAGTGACTCATGTTGCTTATGCTGCTCAGCCGTCATCCATCAAGCTTGCGCAGTCAGATCACCCCCTCTCATCCCTTCCGTTGCAGACATGGCTCCCATGAAGGCAACCAAGACCATGAAGGCGATGAAGGCTGCCAAGGCCATGACCAAGGGGGGCATCGTGAGTGAGCTGGCCTCGGCGACAGACATGAAGAAGTCTGAGGTGTCGCAACTTCTTGGACAGCTCTCCGAAATCGGAGCGAAGGAGGTAAAGGCAACCGGCAAGTTCGTGATCCCGGGACTGTGCATGATCAAGACGCGCACGAAGCCAGCCACCAAGGCGGGCAAGCGGATGATGTTCCTCAGTTTGGTTAGAGCAACCTGTTGTGCTTTGTTTTCATAGCTTGCTGAACCTTTCTTGTTGAGTGGAGGTGAATCAAGTGAAGCATTTTTATCTTGTCCTTTAGCCCAGGTTCGGCAAGGAGGTGGCCATCAAGGCTCAGCCTGCGAAAACGGTGGTCAAGGCATTCGCAGTTTCAGCTCTGAAGAAGCAGATCTAAAACGTTCTGCCTGCGAGCTGTACAGCCTGTGACCTGGGGTGCTGATCAATGGGGCTTGGCGAACAGCGCCTAGGGGACCCAGGCTGAACTTGATGCGGCATAGTTGTTTTAATCACAGCCATGTCATGCCGCAATTGTGGTTTCCAAGTTGTACATTGTACCTGGAGCCATGAGAAGAAAGCTGGCGCGACTCAGTGCGATGAGTTGTTTGGGGCGGCAAAATTGGCTTTTGGCGACAATGTGTTGCTGACTCAGAGTTTCCAGGTATACAGGGGTTTGCTTGGGGTTCCTGGCAACAAAGCAGTGACTCATGTTGCTTATGCTGCTCAGCCGTCATCCATCAAGCTTGCGCAGTCAGATCACCCCCTCTCATCCCTTCCGTTGCAGACATGGCTCCCATGAAGGCAACCAAGACCATGAAGGCGATGAAGGCTGCCAAGGCCATGACCAAGGGGGGCATCGTGAGTGAGCTGGCCTCGGCGACAGACATGAAGAAGTCTGAGGTGTCGCAACTTCTTGGACAGCTCTCCGAAATCGGAGCGAAGGAGGTAAAGGCAACCGGCAAGTTCGTGATCCCGGGACTGTGCATGATCAAGACGCGCACGAAGCCAGCCACCAAGGCGGGCAAGCGGATGATGTTCCTCAGTTTGGTTAGAGCAACCTGTTGTGCTTTGTTTTCATAGCTTGGTGAACCTTTCTTGTTGAGTGGAGGTGAATCAAGTGAAGCATGTTTCCCTTGTTCTTTAGCCCAGGTTCGGCAAGGAGGTGGCCATCAAGGCTCAGCCTGCGAAAACGGTGGTCAAGGCATTCGCAGTTTCAGCTCTGAAGAAGCAGATCTAAAACGTTCTGCCTGCGAGCTGTACAGCCTGTGACCTGGGGTGCTGATCGATGGGGCTTGGCGAACAGCGCCTAGGGGACCCAGGCTGAACTTGATGCGGCATGGTTGTTTTAATCACAGCCATGTCATGCCGCAATTGTGGTTTCCAAGTTGTACATTGTACCTGGAGCCATGAGAAGAAAGCTGGCGCGACTCAGTGCGATGAGTTGTTTGGGGCGGCAAAATTGGCTTTTGGCGACAATGTGTTGCTGACTCAGAGTTTCCAGGTATACAGGGGTTGGCTTGGGGTTCCTGGCAACGAAGCAGTGACTCATGTTGCTTATGCTGCTCAGCCGTCATCCATCAAGCTTGCGCAGTCAGATCACCCCCTCTCATCCCTTCCGTTGCAGACATGGCTCCCATGAAGGCAACCAAGACCATGAAGGCGATGAAGGCTGCCAAGGCCATGACCAAGGGGGGCATCGTGAGTGAGCTGGCCTCGGCGACAGACATGAAGAAGTCTGAGGTGTCGCAACTTCTTGGACAGCTCTCCGAAATCGGAGCGAAGGAGGTAAAGGCAACCGGCAAGTTCGTGATCCCGGGACTCTGCATGATCAAGACGCGCACGAAGCCAGCGACCAAGGCGGGCAAGCGGATGATGTTCCTCAGTTTGGTTAGAGCAACCTGCTGTGCTTTGTTTTCATGGCTTGGTGAACCTTTCTTGTTGAGTGGAGGTGAATCAAGTGAAGCATTTGTCCCTTATCCTTTAGCCCAGGTTCGGCAAGGAGGTGGCCATCAAGGCTCAGCCTGCGAAAACGGTGGTCAAGGCATTCGCGGTTTCAGCTCTGAAGAAGCAGATCTAAAACGTTCTGCCTGCGAGCTGTACAGCCTGTGACCTGGGGTGCTGATCGATGGGGCTTGGCGAACAGCGCCTAGGGGACCCAGGCTGAACTTGATGCGGCATGGTTGTTTTAATCACAGCCATGTCATGCCGCAATTGTGGTTTCCAAGTTGTACATTGCGCCTGGAGCCATCAGAAGAAAGCTGGCGCGACTCAGTGCGATGAGTTGTTTGGGGCGGCAAAATTGGCTTTTCGCGACAATGTGTTGCTGACTCAAAGTTTCCAGGTATACAGGGGTTGGCTTGGGGTTCCTGGCAACGAAGCAGTGACTCATGTTGCTTATGCTGCTCAGCCGTCATCCATCAAGCTTGCGCAGTCAGATCACCCCCTCTCATCCCTTCCGTTGCAGACATGGCTCCCATGAAGGCAACCAAGACCATGAAGGCGATGAAGGCTGCCAAGGCCATGACCAAGGGGGGCATCGTGAGTGAGCTGGCCTCGGCGACAGACATGAAGAAGTCTGAGGTGTCGCAACTTCTTGGACAGCTCTCCGAGATCGGAGCGAAGGAGGTAAAGGCAACCGGCAAGTTCGTGATCCCGGGACTGTGCATGATCAAGACGCGCACGAAGCCAGCCACCAAGGCGGGCAAGCGGATGATGTTCCTCAGTTTGGTTAGAGCAACCTGTTGTGCTTTGTTTTTATAGCTTGGCGAACCTTTCTTGTTGACCAGAGGTTAAACAAGTGCACCTTTTGTTTTTTTGTCCTTTGGCCCAGGTTCGGCAAGGAGGTGGCCATCAAGGCTCAGCCTGCGAAAACGGTGGTCAAGGCATTCGCAGTGTCAGCTCTGAAGAAGCAGATCTAAAGCATTCTGCCTGCGAGCTGTACAGCCTGTGACCTGGGGTGCTGATCGATGGGGTTTGGCGAACAGCGCCTAGGGGACCCAGGCTGAACTTGATGCTGCATGGTTGTTTCAATCACAGCCATGTCATGCCACAATTGTGGTTTCCAAGTTGTACATTGTACCTGGAGCCATCAGAAGAAGAAAGCTGGCGCGACTCAGTGCGATGGGTTGTTTGGCGGGCTGGGAAATTGCCTTTTGGCGACAATGTGTTGCTGACTCAGAGTTTGCAGGTATGCAGGAGTTGGCTTGGGGTTCCTGGCAACGAAGCAGTGACTCATGTTGCTTATGCTGCTCAGCCGTCATCCATCAAGCTTGCGCAGTCAGATCTCCCCCTCTCATCCCTTCCGTTGCAGACATGGCTCCCATGAAGGCAACCAAGACCATGAAGGCGATGAAGGCTGCCAAGGCCATGACCAAGGGGGGCATCGTGAGTGAGCTGGCCTCGGCGACAGACATGAAGAAGTCTGAGGTGTCGCAACTTCTTGGACAGCTCTCCGAGATCGGAGCGAAGGAGGTAAAGGCAACCGGCAAGTTCGTGATCCCGGGACTGTGCATGATCAAGACGCGCACGAAGCCAGCCACCAAGGCGGGCAAGCGGATGATGTTCCTCAGTTTGGTTAGAGCAACCTGTTGTGTTTTGTTTTCATAGCTTGGTGAACCTTTCTTGTTGAGTGGAGGTGAATCAAGTGAAGCATGTTTCCCTTGTTCTTTAGCCCAGGTTCAGGCAAGGAGGTCGCAGTTTCAGCTCTGAAGAAGCAGATCTAAAAGAGCTGTACAGCCTGTGACCTGGGGTGCTGATCGATGGGGCTTGGCGAACAGCGCCTAGGGGACCCAGGCTGAACTTGATGCGGCATGGTTGTTTTAATCACAGCCATGTCATGCCGCAATTGTGGTTTCCAAGTTGTACATTGTACCTGGAGCCATGAGAAGAAAGCTGGCGCGACTCAGTGCGATGAGTTGTTTGGGGCGGCAAAATTGGCTTTTGGCGACAATGTGTTGCTGACTCAGAGTTTCCAGGTATACAGGGGTTGGCTTGGGGTTCCTGGCAACGAAGCAGTGACTCATGTTGCTTATGCTGCTCAGCCGTCATCCATCAAGCTTGCGCAGTCAGATCACCCCCTCTCATCCCTTCCGTTGCAGACATGGCTCCCATGAAGGCAACCAAGACCATGAAGGCGATGAAGGCTGCCAAGGCCATGACCAAGGGGGGCATCGTGAGTGAGCTGGCCTCGGCGACAGACATGAAGAAGTCTGAGGTGTCGCAACTTCTTGGACAGCTCTCCGAAATCGGAGCGAAGGAGGTAAAGGCAACCGGCAAGTTCGTGATCCCGGGACTCTGCATGATCAAGACGCGCACGAAGCCAGCGACCAAGGCGGGCAAGCGGATGATGTTCCTCAGTTTGGTTAGAGCAACCTGCTGTGCTTTGTTTTCATGGCTTGGTGAACCTTTCTTGTTGAGTGGAGGTGAATCAAGTGAAGCATTTGTCCCTTATCCTTTAGCCCAGGTTCGGCAAGGAGGTGGCCATCAAGGCTCAGCCTGCGAAAACGGTGGTCAAGGCATTCGCGGTTTCAGCTCTGAAGAAGCAGATCTAAAACGTTCTGCCTGCGAGCTGTACAGCCTGTGACCTGGGGTGCTGATCGATGGGGCTTGGCGAACAGCGCCTAGGGGACCCAGGCTGAACTTGATGCGGCATGGTTGTTTTAATCACAGCCATGTCATGCCGCAATTGTGGTTTCCAAGTTGTACATTGCGCCTGGAGCCATCAGAAGAAAGCTGGCGCGACTCAGTGCGATGAGTTGTTTGGGGCGGCAAAATTGGCTTTTCGCGACAATGTGTTGCTGACTCAAAGTTTCCAGGTATACAGGGGTTGGCTTGGGGTTCCTGGCAACGAAGCAGTGACTCATGTTGCTTATGCTGCTCAGCCGTCATCCATCAAGCTTGCGCAGTCAGATCACCCCCTCTCATCCCTTCCGTTGCAGACATGGCTCCCATGAAGGCAACCAAGACCATGAAGGCGATGAAGGCTGCCAAGGCCATGACCAAGGGGGGCATCGTGAGTGAGCTGGCCTCGGCGACAGACATGAAGAAGTCTGAGGTGTCGCAACTTCTTGGACAGCTCTCCGAAATCGGAGCGAAGGAGGTAAAGGCAACCGGCAAGTTCGTGATCCCGGGACTGTGCATGATCAAGACGCGCACGAAGCCAGCCACCAAGGCGGGCAAGCGGATGATGTTCCTCAGTTTGGTTAGAGCAACCTGTTGTGCTTTGTTTTCATAGCTTGGTGAACCTTTCTTGTTGAGTGGAGGTGAATCAAGTGAAGCATTTTTCCCTTGTCCTTTAGCCCAGGTTCGGCAAGGAGGTGGCCATCAAGGCTCAGCCTGCGAAAACGGTGGTCAAGGCATTCGCAGTTTCAGCTCTGAAGAAGCAGATCTAAAACGTTCTGCCTGCGGGCTGTACAGCCTGTGACCTGGGGTGCTGATCGATGGGGCTTGGCGAACAGCGCCTAGGGGACCCAGGCTGAACTTGATGCGGCATGGTTGTTTTAATCACAGCCATGTCATGCCGCAATTGTGGTTTCCAAGTTGTACATTGTACCTGGAGCCATCAGAAGAAAGCTGGCGCGACTCAGTGCGATGAGTTGTTTGGGGGCGGCAAAATTGCCTTTTGGCGACAATGTGTTGCTGACTCAGAGTTTCCAGGTATACAGGGGTTGGCTTGGGGTTCCTGGCAACGAAGCAGTGACTCATGTTGCTTATGCTGCTCAGCCGTCATCCATCAAGCTTGCGCAGTCAGATCACCCCCTCTCATCCCTTCCGTTGCAGACATGGCTCCCATGAAGGCAACCAAGACCATGAAGGCGATGAAGGCTGCCAAGGCCATGACCAAGGGGGGCATCGTGAGTGAGCTGGCCTCGGCGACAGACATGAAGAAGTCTGAGGTGTCGCAACTTCTTGGACAGCTCTCCGAAATCGGAGCGAAGGAGGTAAAGGCAACCGGCAAGTTCGTGATCCCGGGACTGTGCATGATCAAGACGCGCACGAAGCCAGCCACCAAGGCGGGCAAGCGGATGATGTTCCTCAGTTTGGTTAGAGCAACCTGTTGTGCTTTGTTTTCATAGCTTGGTGAACCTTTCTTGTTGAGTGGAGGTGAATCAAGTGAAGCATTTTTATCTTGTCCTTTAGCCCAGGTTCGGCAAGGAGGTGGCCATCAAGGCTCAGCCTGCGAAAACGGTGGTCAAGGCATTCGCAGTTTCAGCTCTGAAGAAGCAGATCTAAAACGCTCTGCCTGCGAGCTGTACAGCCTGTGACCTGGGGTGCTGATCGATGGGGCTTGGCGAACAGCGCCTAGGGGACCCAGGCTGAACTTGATGCGGCATGGTTGTTTTAATCACCTCCATCTCATGCCGCAATTCTGGTTTCCAAGTTGTACATTGTACCTGGAGCCATCAGAAGAAAGCTGGCGCCACGCAATGCGAACGGGATTTGAATACACAGATTAGAGAGGTGTTCAACTTCCCGGGGGGTTTGGCACGTGGGAGCCCTTTGAGAAATTGTCCAGCCATTGTAAGGGTAGGAAGCTATGACCGTTGCCCGCCCAGTGCTTCCAGTTACCCCTATAGTAGGTAACCACAGCAATTCATGATGCAACACCTAGAGGGAGACATACCGAGGGGTTGGCCTATAGTGTGGAAGCTATGATGGCACAGGGATGGGAACCTGGTAAGGAGCCAAAAGGGTGTCTCGGCACCGAGAATGTCTTGGGCTTGGGCCACCCCGTGCGAGACACAAACATGGCTTTGCGGCATGTTTAAACAGCTAGGTGCCCTTTTACCCTTTTTTTGGGAGGGTTCCCCTACTAAAATAGACGACAGAAAAAAAGGGTACCCTTATTCTAACCTGTCTCCTGGAGGACCTAGACAGCCTTTGGATTGCAAGCGGTACCAGGGAATGGTTGTTTAAGCAAGTTTCGACCAACCTTGCCTCCTATTCTCGGGCGCCAAATCAATACACGCCGATTGTCATGACATATTTGGTTAGATAGTCCTCCAAACCGAATTCTATTCATTTAGGCCCTTGTAGTACCCCCAAACCACCCAGAAGGGAGCATAGAATATTCAACTCACTACATGACTTCAGTTGGGAGTGTGGTAAATGTAAACTTGTGTTGGCTAATCCACTCAGGAAGTGAGGCTACTATACTAGACTATACTCCATTTCCCCTTCACCCAAAAAGCCAAACTAGAGTGTTTCATCCCACATAGGGTTCCTCTCGACGGGATCTATCCATCCGCAGTATGTAAAGGAAATACCTGGATCGCCAGTTGCTGGTTTTTTCCCCAGCAACTCTGACTGAGTTTTTGGGTGGAGTGTCTGGACAAAAGCAGAAACTTGGCTATCTACCTACCTGGACCCTGAAACCCAATTCACCCAATAATGTTGGGGCTGCAACCCATTTTACAAGGGTAATTTGAGGGTCCAGGTAGTCGATTGTCCCTTGGCCCGGAACAAAGTACCCCTGCCTACCCGCCAGGGCTACCGGCCTCGGGAGCTTGCAGCCTGCAGTGAAGCCTTGGCGCGCCAAGCCGAAGAGTTCCTGTCTCGGACAAAAAGGCGGCGAGGGATGGCATGATCGGTGTCCTCGCGGTCGAACATATATATATATATATAATGTGTTCGTATATATATATATGTATATATATATACATATATACATAACCATATATATATATATATACATACATACATACACATATTGGTGACACAAAAGAGAGATAACGACAGAGAGAGAGAGAGAGAGATGTATATTTTAGGTGTGACTCAGACGCAATCATGGCACCCACAAAGTATTGTTGTGTGTGTGTTGCCTGTCCCCACCAAAACCTATCAACCCCTAAAGGAAATTGTTTACTTTCTCTATGTTGCAACCAGGAGGGTGCATGTCCGTTGCAGTAACATCTGATGTTCCTTAGGATAGCTTTACCTTACCCCTCAAGAAACTCTTCGCATTTCCCCGGAAAGGCCCCAGAAAGTTGTTCTTGGCCTCTAAAGTGATGGCAGAAAAGGTTCAAGTTCTAGGTGAGCGTCCCCATGATCGAATTTTCCCGATCGCAGCTTGTTGAAGCCGAAAGCAACCAACGTGGGATGGGCAAGTCTTCAATTCAATACCCCCTTTCCCGGATTTCAGAACCCTAAAGTACTGCTTTGGTATGCGGTGGAATGGCGGATCCACAGACTCGCCGCACTCGTTTCTTCAGATGGCAGTGGGTTTTACTTCTGATGGCCCCCATCCAACCAGCTTCCATTTGCTTAAGAGTTTGTGTTATTTTCCCCTGTTGGTTGTTAAATGGAATCGATTTCACTGCTGGACATATTTCTCATTTTCCCCGGGGAGGGGGCGCGTTAAGAGTACCTAGAGTCTCCATGACCGTGAAAAGATGGGTCCATGACCCCTTAATTTTGGGTAATGACCCCATGTTTTAAGGGTCATGGAGACTCCAGGTGATTGGATTCTAAGGAGTGCTGTCCCCTTCCGACCAAGGCTCCATTTGGACCTCCGAGGCGCCACGCGAAGCGAAGAAGCGAAGCCGTGGGTCCAGCTCCAGGGCTGGGACGTCGGCTGCGTTGGTTTGAGCGATCAAGCCCCGCGGTTTGAAAGGCGAACCCAACTTGCAGAACCACATCCATATATCAAGTTTGCAAATATCCGTATATCAAAATTTACACATATAGTGTTTATGGTTGAATCTCAGGAGGGGGTTGATGGGGGTTGTCCCAAGTCGAATTGTGCATCGATTTTCGGCGTTTCACCGGCGAAGTTCGAGTCGCACTCCTTTGCGTGCGACATTGACCTTAACCTTCCCTTTGCTTATTTGTTCTTCCCCAGTTGGTTTTAAAGGGAATCTATCGCCACGGGACATTTTTGTTCCAGGGGATTTATGCAAATCGGCAAATGGAAGTAACCTTGTTGGTTAAGCATGCCCCTAAGATCCTCTAGGACCCTGACACGTGGCGTGGGCAGGTATTTTCAAGTTCCAGTCACAAGCCTTTGGGGAATGTCATTTGTACAACGCCAAAAGCCGCGCTTTTGACCAGTTCGTAGGCCCTGGCAAAAGGAAAGCCAAGCTTCAGAAAATGCCAACTTAGCCACTCTTTTCATTAAGCGCATTTTCCAAAGGGGGGGTGTAACGCATCTGAGAAGCCAAAAGCCGACGAAGCTTACGCCCTTGCTTCCATAGGTTTTCGATTCTGCAGTTCTCCATATTTCCGTCGTTTGCTGGTTTTTGAACAGACCTTAGCCAATTTAGGGGGATTCTCCTAAATGGGGTTTATAGACTGGAAACACTCCCCTGCAAATTAACATTGAGATCAAAAGGGGGCCGGTCCCCCAAAAGGAGATTCATCTCAAAACAATGTTTGTTGGGATTCCATGTTGGTCTGCAGGCGTGTGTAAGCGGGCAACATGGGTGTGACGCTTCTTAGGGGACCCCCCAAACTGGGGGGGGACAAGAAGAGGTACCCTCAAAAAGCGACACACCCACACATGTTTTTTCGGGGACCCCCAAAACGGATTTCGTTGTTGTTTCTCTTTTTTTTCTGTTGGTTTACCCTGTAAATCCGGAAAACCGTGTACATATATTATACATATACATATATATATATATATATATTTATAAAAAGCATGGGGTACCAACTCCAAAGGACGAGCCCAGGGCGCCCTGTCCCGGTCGTTTCCTTCGCCAGGCCGCAGGCCTCCCCACGACTTGCGGCTCAGCGCTGCTCACGCTGGTAGGCGCGGCTTTGAAAGCGGCGGAAGGAGCGGTTGTTTGTGACTCAGGTTGTGGACTCAACTAGATTCCAAAACAAGAAAGTATTCTATGGGGGAACCTCCAATTCCATTCTTTGCAGGGATCCGAATCTTTTCAGGAAACCATCAAAAACCCAGAAGACACATCCGGTTTTTGAAAAGAACGATGGTTGAAAAGAATGGGGAATCAACCCCTAGAAGTATATGCGCCCTTTTTCCTTGTCTTTTTTTTCTCTGAGTGGTTCGATTCCTTCAGACTGACGAAAAAAGGATGCCCTTGTTTTTGTTCATGCAGGTCGGTAGGGGTCGTGTGTTTTTTTGGCTTAGCCCTGGTTGGCCCCAACCCTGGTTGGTTTGCCAGTGCGTAGCAAAGGAAAGAGCCAAAGACGCAGAGAGTAACTTTGCCCAAACTTTGCCCATAGTAGCGGAGCGAGTGTGGTGACTGCGCCACGACCTGGCGCTAGCCAGTGGTAGCGGAGCGAGTGTGTTGGTTGCGCGTCCAAACTGGTCATCAATACTTGGAACGTGCCAGTGCCGACTCAAACCACGGAAGGAAGCCCGCGCAAATACTCCAAGCCTCGGAAATATGCTGCCTCGAGCGTCCAGCTCCGGCTTCGCCCCAGCTCCGCCCCAGCTTCGCGCCACGACCTGCCGGCAGCGGAGCGAGTGTGTTGGTTGCGCGCCCAAACTGGTCAACGAGACCTGGAACGTGCCAGTGCGTCGCAAAGGAAAGAGCCAAAGACGCAGAGTAAAACTTTGCCCATAGTGCCAGTGCCTGGAACCAGGGTTAGCCAAAAACCAGGGCTAGTCAAAAAAAAACACCCCAACCGGTGGGTAGGTCAAAGAGTTCTTTACGCAGTTAAAGGACACACCAATCATTTGGTCATGTTTAGCCCCTAGGCCCTTTAGGTTGGTGTCAAAGGGAAACTAACAGGAAGCCAATCATGCGCTCATCCTCGGCATGTTCAAGCATGGACCAGCGGGCAGGAAAGTGTATGCTTTCCCAGGCAGCAAACAGTTCGCAGCAAACATGTCAGTTGTTCCCATTGACAAGCAGACACGTTTGACGATGCGTTTGTCACAGGAGCTGTATTGCGAGTCAGATACTGAAGATACGTCCAACGCAAAGTGTCAACAAATGCACCTGGGACAAAGCTAGCCACTGAGCGATTCTCTTCGGACCATGTGTAACGGACACATGCAATACACTGAAATCGCCAGGGGTACGCACTTGGAACATCTGCCAACCATCCAAGTGATGCTCTTTTGTGTTTTTTGTTTGGGGGGTGGTATCCTGTTGTTGCTTTTGTTTAAGGTGAAGCCATAGGAACAACCATGTTTTTTCTTGGGGGGGCACCCGGTTTTAAGACACACCCGTCCTCTCAGGCCTCGTCGTGGTGGACTGTACCTCGGCTGACGGCTTGCAGTTCCGGGGGGGGGCCGGGGATGAGGATATGTGGGGGGGGGGATCGCGTTTTTAGGGGACCCACCGAAATGAAATTTGGTTTTCTTCTGGGTTTCGTTGTAGAACTACAACATATAAACATGTACCCTCGAAAAAGACAGACCCATATGCGGAGTTAGACCCCCCAATTCTGGTTTCCCTAAGCATCCCGAAAAGAGTACCTAGCCTCAGAAACACACGCCCGTTTGATTTAAACAAGGTCATGAGTGTTTTGAAAGGGAATCCACACGGAGGCTGCGCAAACAAGAGCTGTTTGGGCAGGGGTTGGGCATATGGTTTGCCGTGTAGGAAACTCGAAGGAGTTTGTTTGAGCAGTATTGGTTCAAATAAGTGTATTTTGACCCCACCCGTCTGGAAGATCATGTCAGTCAGCAAATGTTCGGACGTTAGCGCCACCAGTAAGGTCCAAGCATTGGAAGAAGGGGTTCCGACAAATCCTGGTGTACATCCGATGATTCACCAATCGGAAATGCGTGTTGTTCTTGAGGGTACCCCTTTTTGGGGGGTTGGTCTAACGGGAACCAAAGCCAAATCACAACATGGGCCCCCCTATGTTGACACATTCCAAAATTAATGCCTAAGAAAACCCGTATTTGTGTTCCCTTGGGCAGGTTCTTGAATGGTCGCTGTCCCATGTTGGTGTTCAAACCACCGAACAGCTGATTTAAGTTGTTTTGGGAAACCGGCTGCCGCCACTCTTCTTGCTGGCGCGAACCCAGGGATCCCCTTAACGGAAACCACCAGTTGGATGGTTTTTCATGGCGTAAGCTCGATATGGAAATACCTCTTGTGGGCTCCCCTGTGGCATCAGTAATGTTGACCCAATGGGAGTCAACCCCAGAAAATTCCATTTCTCATTCCCTGCCCATCGCATCGAGCGCAAGTTACGGGTTTCTCCTGACATGCCCTCAGGCTTCTTCTACGCTGGGCTTCTCGTTGGGCTCTCAGCTGTGGGCCCTTGCCCCGAACATGGCCGTTTAGCGGGTTTTGACTAGGCTTTTCTGGTTTTCAACTGGTTGTGTTGGGTTTAGATTTTAGACGGTTAACTAGTTTTTGAATGTTCTTGTTGGGTTTTAGCCGGCTTTGACTGGTTCTAGCTGGTTTTGGTTTTGGATGGTTTTGTTGGGTTTGAGCTGCTTTTGTTTGCATTGTTTTCGGGTGTTCGATGGTGGTTTTTAACTGGTTTTGTTGGGTTTCAGTTGGCTTTGACCGGTTTTAACTACGAAGAGAACGAATCTAGCCTACCAGCGTGAAGCAGTCCGGCTTGGACTTGGATTCCATCAAAGAGCGGCTTGACGCCAAAGCCAAAGATGCTATGGAGCTCAACGAAGCACTTGCACGCATGAGCGTCTGTAGCGCGGACAACGTTGCCCAGATGGAGCAAGACGCAAGGAGAGGGGGGGTGGGGTGGTGGGGGGAAGAGGGGGGGGTGGGGGAAGAGGGGGGGTGGGGGAGACGGGAAGAGGGGGGACTTGGTTTGTAGGAGTACTTTCGGTGGTACTAAAGGGAACCCTCTTGATCATGATGAAAAAGGGGCGGTGGCTCCTGTTTGGGGCGGCCCTGACGGATGGCGAGGCCGGTCGGCTTGTTTGCGTCAAGCGAGGGATTGGCTCAGATGGCATTAGCTGGTTTCAGCTGGTTTTGACTCACTCTCCTGAAAGCCCAGGTGCTGCCCTACGGCATCGTGGTGGAGATCCTGGCCTTTTGGAATGTGGCCTTCAGGCCGACTCGCTCGACGGCTCGAGTCGATTTGGTTTCGATGTGAGGGTGGAGGGACGGGCTTGCAAGAGCCTCCAAAAGGAAAAAGGGTGGCTCCGAGACGTTTGAACTGGGGATCTCTTTCAAATTTTGCACTAAAGGCTCACGACATGTGGGCCGGAACCAAGAAACAAGACTTATTGGTGTTTGGGGTTGGGGGCACAAGCTGAGGTAGTAAAGATTGGCCGGGGTAGAAATCCGGATTCCCAATGCTGTGCAATCCACGGATTAGTTCCCCAGCGTCAGCGGACCCTTCGAGAAAAATGGGCAGCCCCTTCATGGGCGGCCAAAGAAACGCACACATGCAAACCCCGGCACAGGCAAACCCCGCCTTTGCTTTAGAGGACTCGGGATGTGGAGAGGGTATGTATGTTGTCACCCATGGGTGTTGAGCGTGCGTCAAATGTCAAGAGCTCACTCCGATGGGGCAGTCAACGACGGACCGTCAAGAGGGTTTCACCGTACCTTGAATCTAGAAAACGGTTTGGATGAGGTTAAAAGAGTACTAAAAGAGTACTAAAAAAGGACGAACAGGGGGAAGAACAGGTGAAATCCACAAAAGGCGCATCCAAAACGGTTTCTAGATTGAATGCTCTTTGCTTCGAGCTCTAACCCTTCAAGCTCTTTGGATCGCGACTTATCGCTGGTCTCAATATCTGGCGAGCAGTTTCAACTTTGCGCAGGGGCACGGCCTCAGACTGTTTCCTTTCTGGACAGCTCCCTTAGGCAAGGGGACCGCCTGGATTGGACACTGACATGCCATTCCAAGACATGACCGCATTCGGAGGGCCGCTCATCCACTTGGGCGCGTCTGAAAATAGGGGATCCCTCTCAAAGGTGTTTCTTCCTCTTTACGAACGCCACTTCGAACCTTTGAAAGGTCAGGAAGAGCCCTTGCACCTGGGCTTCGCCATGTGGCCATGTGGCCAATATCCAAATCGGTTAGCCCCCAGTGAACATCCCAATCCAACCACTAAAATAGGCTAAAATGGGTGGTGAATTCACCTACCCCAAAGTGATACCGTTGGTTTTGACCCACAGCCATGTGGTTTCAAGCGAAGCATCTAGGTTGTGCTATGTGGCTCCAGCCACCCAAGCCCCGCATGGCGGCGTTCCCTTTGCCAGGGGCAACCGCTTCGAGTACGTGACCGCCACCAAGGCTCCAAGCCCCACCATGCCCTTTGTTGCTGGTGCGATAGGCAGGGAATGAGGGAAGAAAAAACAAACAAACAAAAGACACCATGGAGGATGATTTGTAAAGGTCCTTCCCTCATTCCCTGCTGTTTGCGCCAGCAAGTCACAATGATGCCAAAAACAAAGAGGAGCCCACAATGGTGGAACCCTCTTTGGTGTCCCTTCAAACAAGCTTACAATATCGGGTACCCTTTAACCTTCATTTGCTTAAGAATATGCTTTTAACCCTTGTTGGTTCTCAAAGGAATTCATCACGACTGGGTTGTTTTTTCATTTTTTCCTAGGGCCTGAACCAAATGGAAGTTAATCAAACATGGGGCTCCAGGCATTGAGCAAGTTGCCAAGCTGGCAGACTGCCTCCCCGCGTTCTTTGGGTGTGGTGGTTTTCAGACATGGCTGTGGGTCAAAGCCAATGGTTGGCTGTGGGTCAAGACATTTTTGTGGATTTTACCGGGGATTGGGATGTTCACTGCGGGTACGGGATTTTGACACACGAAGGCTACCATTGTTTAAACAATTGGTTGGTTTAGTGGTTTAAACGGAAACCGAAGGGAATGCCACCACTTTCCGGGCTACCTGTTTCGACACCACCCCGATCCTACCAACACCGTCCTACTTAGACGGCTCGGGATTTAGCCAAGTGGTTAGTAACCCTACCTTCAAGGCTTCTGCGGGGTTAACTGGGGGTCACGAACCACTTAGCTAGCTTCCGGACCATCATGATGCAATTGGGTGTGGCTCAAAATTCAAGACCTAGGGTTACGCAGGTTTTTTAGTTTACTTTTCCATTTACCGGGCCGGGTTCCATGTTTGGCCCTATTTTTGAACGACCGCCAAGTAACTTACAATAAAGGGGTTACGAAAGTCAAACTCTCAACTTTGGTGCATTTTGCTTGGATGTTAGGACTTTAACTTTTTGCCAACTAATGGGTTTTCCATTAAACCACTAAAAGTTAAACTTTTGCAGGGAAGCAGAAAGCAACCGAGCTAAAGATTGCGCTGGCCGAATTGGAAGGGGGGCTATTGGCAATTGGCAATTGGCGATGGCCCTTACCAACGAGGCAGACCCCCAGATTATCAAGCGCAACATATTGCGAGTGACCCAGGATGTCTCAGTAGCTTGGAGAGTCACTCCTTTGTGCCATGAAGTCATTCTCAGGTAATCCTTCAAGCCTTCAGGTGAGGTAGCTTGGACTTCTTGCGAAATATGTGTGTCATACGGTCCCTACGATGCGCTTTGATGGCCTTTTCACTCTGCAACTCCCAAAACCGAGAGTATGTATTGTAGACATCCATTTTAGTCACTTAGGAAGTGAATTAACATTCCGCTGGGTTTGGGGTAGACGCCCTCAGACCCTTTCCTCACCTCCAGTCAGGCACATGCGGACGGCGCCGGCGCGGGCTCGCCGTCCGGAGTGCCGATGAGGCGCCCAAGTCTCTTGAGAGCCCAAAGGGAGCATCTTGAAGGGGCGTGTCTTTTTGGACGGGACGGTACCGTTTAGGTGGTTTTTATTGGACAATCAGAAGGGCAACCCATTTTGGGGTCCCCGGTGTTTTTTTGAGACACACCCAAGGGTTCTCAAAGTTTACTTTGGGGGGGTGCTTTTGACACCACTGCTTAGAGGATGATTTTGAGGATGTCACGGGACCTGTCTTGAGCAGAGGTTGCCTTCCTCAGGCGAGTAAGCCACGCACCCCACAAGGGAAGACGAGAACTAATCGATTCCCGGATCACCGTGGTTCAGGTACTTGCGTCAAAATAGGGGGACCCCCCCCCCCCCCCACATGGTGCGTTTCCTGTTGGTTCCCTTTAATCGTTATTTAGTTCCCCAAGGTGTGTGGTGGGGTGTGTAGTTTAAGCCTGCGAAGGTATGAAGTCCAAACTATTCAAGTATCTCAAAAGGCCACCCTGGTAGGATGTTGAAGTGGAGGGTGCTAAGTAGCCCGTGAGTTTTGGTTCAACTTTCCCAGAAAGGATTGCAAACGCGTCTGTTTTGAGGGCACCCCGTTTTTGGTGGGAGATACAAAAGGAACACCACCATTGTTGGGGGGTGCCCTTGAAAAAGACACACCCCTTCAGTGTTCCCAAGGATTTCAATAGGGGATGGTAACTTTCCATGTTTCCCGAACCCTTGACGTATTTAGCAGCTGGCTAAGTCCTCTTTCAACGCCATTGGCTGCGAAGAAAAAGCTAGCCGGTGAGGGGTTCAGATGAGCCACCTAGGAGGATGGTCCGCCACATGCGGAATTTCGTACTTCCACTTTGCGAAGTCATGTTGACCCCATGTTGAAGTAGAGCGCGGCGGTTTTGTTTGGGCGGTGTTGTGCCCAAATGTGATCTAGATCACCTCTAAAATGGGCGCAAGCCCACCAAATACCAAACAGTGCCTTACTAGTTCTGGGTCAGAGTTACTTCTGTTAGATCTGTGCCCTCCCCTTGCGAATTGGGTTTCTTTTGGATGTTGTTGAGTTCGATTTTCGGAATCTGGACCCACATGTTTCTGTTGGTCTTTGGTGGGTTCTCTCTGAAAAATGGAAACAACCACCCCAAGCGGTCCATGTTTTACCGGGGGTCACTATGCAACTGAGTCGCCAGTTTACACCTTGTAGTTTCTCGACTATGGGCCATAAATTAGAAATGTAATGTTTCGTAGGACACAAGCTGAGGTAGTGTTGCCCCCAACCTTGAAGCCACCTTGTTGTTTGAACATGAAGTACGATCCCCTTTCTATATTTGCGGGCTTGGTAGTTTGTTCACAGAAATGGGGTGCGCTTGTTCTACGAAACCATCATTGCAGGGGGTTCCCCTCGCGGACATAAGATCTTGGGGGATGAACAAGGCATTTGTAATCAAATCCCTTTGGCCCATAAACGTACTGTGGATGGAAGAAATCCGATTCGCACCACCCAAGAAACCCTAGAATGATACGATTCCTTTGTAAATACCAACACGCAATGGTTTCCATGGTTTCAAAGTGGTGCACGATTTCGTCCGGAGCTTTTGGTTTGGCGCAGTTTTTGAGAGTTGGGTCCCTGTCCTGAACAAGTTTGGGAGGGGTACACCTGGATTGTTGATTGATTTTACTCACTCCGCGAGCTCCTGAACTTTGAACGCTCTGATAAGACCGTCTTAGATAACACAAATCAAACGGCTCTGCCTGGAAGGACAGCTTGAAAAACTGCACTTGATGTATGTGTGATTGGTTGAAGTTGGATGGCTTTCTTTCGGGAAACCTAACCGGATCCTTTGTTGGATTCCGGTTCTGATTCCTGCGAGACAAGCCCACGTTGGTACCAATGTTGACTCGAGGCGGGCCAGACCAGCGTACGTGGCGCACGTTGCAGATGTACCACGACGTGTTCGTTCATCACTCAAAGGGTGTGTAAGTTGGGATGCTGTAGATGATGGTAGTCTATGTTAAAACCGGTGACCTGTTGGTTAACAATGTGTTCATATACTAGTAGCATCACGGCATTCCGTGTGGAGAAACGAAATCCGATTCGCAGCACCTACGAAACCCTGGAATGCTGATTCCCCCCCTGTAAATACCAACAACCAGTCTTCCAAGGCGGGACGATCGGATTTCGTCCATCCCACCAACTCCTTTGGCCAATCTCGAGCAAGAGCACCTCAGGCTACCAAAGGTGCGAGAAGAAAAAAAAGGTTTGCCGGGGATTTACGAAGTTTACAAAGGTTTACCTTGGTGGTCACCAGCAATCCCCTTGGCTTTTCAGCTTTTTAGGGGTGTTTACTGTGAATTTCCGTCTAACACCAAAAGTTAAACCTTTAGCGCGGGATCTGAGGACAGCCCAGTTACAGCCCACCATTGTGCGGGATATGCGGACAACCCCCAAAAGAGCACCCCGAGGAACACAGACACCTCAGGGCGGCTGGGGGGGGGGAGGGGGGGAGGGAGCCCAAATAAGCCCTTATATGGCCTTAATTGGGGCTTATTGGGGCTCCCTCTCCACCCCCCTCCCTCCCCCCCAGCCCCCATGATCAGTGAATCATGAATGAATAAAGCATTCAGAACCCCTGCGGAGCTGCGTTCTCGTGAGGCCACTCAGACGCTGAGGCCGCTTTGCTCGGCTTGCGGCTTGGGGACCAGGACACCTTCCCCGGCCGCCCCCAGACCCCCCCTCCCCCACCCCTTTTCTGGGCACCGGTAGGGGTTTCCTCTTGACTCCCGCGAAAGATGGCAGAACCAAGATCCCAGGTGTTGCAGTGGCTCCCTCAATTTGGTTTGGTTTTCAGAGGACTGCGCTACGAAAAAGTGTGCTCAGGGTTAACTTTCTGGTGCGATAGGTGGGAATGAGGGAAGGAACCTGGGCATTGCCTTAAAGGAATCACCATAGGGGTCATCCTCTCATTCCCTACCTATCGCGGCAAATTAAATCGGGAGAGGTGTGCCTCTCTTCCTGTTGCCACCCGAAACACGAAACCTACAAGGACGCGGTCAAAAGGCTTCTCGAGTTTTTTGAGAGTCACTGGACCCCACCCGGTCCGACCTCCGGTGGGTTGCTTCCTTGCTTCCCTTTTAAGCATTCAAAGCATGCTGGCCATTGGAAAATGTTTTTTGCGAGTCGCGAGCCGTTTCCCGTTTTGGGTTACCTCCAAAAGTGGCGATCGTTTTCATGGAGCGCACCAATCAATTGCAACCTTTGAAGGGGAAATCCAGTAAGCCGGGGGTTCCCTCTAAACATTATTCCATTCCCTTGAAAGCCAACCAACCAAAGCAAATCGGATGCCTTTTTTCACCATGGAAATCCACTGTGCATCTGAGTTACTTCCATTTGTCTAAGTGTTTTGTTCTTTCCCCTGTTGTTGGTTTTAAAGGGAATCGATTTCGCGACCTGACATATTTTGTATTTCTTCAAGGGGGCGAAAACGCAAATGGACGGTTAGCAGCATAGACAACTTCTCGGCTACAGTCCATCAGGCTCAAAGCTCGAAGTCCTAACAGATGGCCCGTGAAGGAACAGTCGGCGGTGGCGGATTTGAACGCCTGGCGGCAAGCCGGTGGCCCAATTATTTTGATGTGATCAAGGAGCAGGAGACGCTCTGGCAAAATGAGGTTGATCAGACCATCAGGCAGTACACTACGAATGAAATCTACCTTGAAGTCAACAACGCTCTCTGGTTTGACGATCGCTCTCTTCTGGAGAAGCATCGCAAGTTCATCAGTTTGCTCCGTCATGGTGTGCGTGGATACTGTGAGAGTGGGACTGTCTACCGTGGAATGAAGCTTCCTGCCAGCCAGCATGAGCTCTACACGGTGGGTGAGAGATTCCTGTGGCCAGCTTTCACTTCAACAAGCCGTGATCGGACTCAAGCCGAAAAGTTCGGGAGCTGGGCACGCACCGGTGATCGAGTCTTATTTGTGATCGAGCTGTCGCGCGCAGTTGGACTTACCTTCTCAAGGGACATCTCCCACTTCTCAGTTTACCCCCATGAGCAAGAAGTGCTGATCTTCTGCTACTCAGGTTTTGAAGTGCTTGGACGCGAGTGGCACGATGGACAACTTGTTGTCACCCTCAAGCCCTATGACACCAAACTCCTTGAAAGCTATTGTTACCAATATGGCCCCTGCGTAGCCCTCCTCTTTGTCATCCTCTTCATCCTCCACCAGGTGGGGAAGCTAATAGCTTCGAAAGCCCTTGTACAGCTGTAGGCGCCAGTATTCGCAGCCCTCTTTCCGAAGAAAAAGATGAGCGGTGCGCCAAAACATCAAAACACTCATACCATGAGACCTTGTTCAACGCCTTTTCTGCTTAGAGAGGGAATCCACTGGCCTACTAAGCCACAACAAAAACACAAGTCATATTATTGTGTCATTGATGTTAAGTTAAAGCGAGCAGCGCGGATGAAAACCATTCGCGTGCGCCGAAGACAGTAGATGGAGAGTGCGTGCGCTTTGAAGATGCACTGCAATGCAAGCATCGTCTAATAGTTCCCGCTGCAGGAGTCACAAAAACAACAACTGGACTGAATATGGCCATGGGTCAAAACTACCCGCAGTGAACATCCCAATCCCCACTAAAATAGGTTCTAAAATGGGTGCTGCACCTACCCCAAAATGGGATCCCATTGGTTTTGACACCCACAGCCACTTGACTGAAGATGTGTTGGCAGTTTCGAGCTTGAGGTACCTTGCAGTGAAAGCTAGTGATTACTTTCGCCGTTGAGACACCTGAGCCATGTGCTCAAAACTCGGGGATTGATGAAGGTTAGTAAGGGGCAGTCCCAGTCAGAAATAGTTGCGGACATCCGCCTTCTTAATTCTTTACATGGTTCTGGGTAGACCCGTTTAATACCGGGTTTTGATTGTGACTCACCTGTGGGAAGGGTGCCAACACAAACATGCAAAGACAAGCTGTGTCGCGAGGAAGCCCTGCAAGAACCGCGTGAACGAAGCCAGCAGAAGGAATGCCGCCATGCGAACATCGCAAGTTGCTTTCTCGCGCGCACCGACCCAGTGCTATTTCAGCAGCGTCAAAAACCTCCGCGTACACGTTTAGTAAGAGTCGCGTCATATCGACCTGCGAGTAAGAAAATGTGACTCCACGCACGTAAGGTGGCGTAAGCTGGCGGCGTACGAAAAACCTCCACATGTGTCGCGCAAGCAACAAGTCCACACGCGATGTGGCGTAAGCTAAATTCTGGCACGTTCACGACATGGCTCAATTGAGCCACAAACAAAACCCGGGTAGATGAAGCTTAGGGATAATCCCAACCATAAATGGGTGCAGCATTCCGCCTTGTTAAGTCTTTACATGGTCCTGGGAAGACCATTTTTGCACCTGGTTCTGATTTTGACTCAAGTGTGATCCGCTTGGATTCGCATGGATTCGCCAGGTGGCCGACCTGTCGGCGCGAGGGCGCGCCAGGGGCATCGCGTGGGACAGGCGACGGAGTATTTGGGGGTCTTTGGCGAGCTTCGGATTCTTGGTGGCTCCCAGCCATCCGGTTCCTTAGCCTTTTAGCCTTTTAGTGTTTGGTGGTTGTTTCCATTCACCCCACGAAATGTTAAACTTTTAGCGGGGGATCTGAGGACAGCCAAGTATTGACATGGAACGCAAGAAATCCTTATTTGCAGGGGAAACTCCTGGGGTTACTGGGGACCAGCTTTGGTTCCGTGAGAATTTGCTGGGGAGGAAACCTGTTGGATCTATTGCTTGTGAACATGGGGAGTAGGGTTGGCCACCAATGACCTGAACGGAAGCATTCAAGAACTCATGGATGTTGGATATTGTTTTTGTTGGACTAGGCAAGCGACGCTAATTGAAGTGGTAGTCATGGGCATGACCCACTTGGTATTGCAGAACAGCGGCTTGCCGCGTGTCGCATGACTACTCGTTGCTCCTTGACATTCTTTCGCTTTTCTCAGGTTTACCTGACAAATCAAGGGTTTGCAGCCTTGGCCATGATACCTGACAAATCAAGGGTTTGCAGCCTTGGCCATGAAGGTTCCTTTAGTGTGCAGTGATGGACAAACTCCGAGCGAATCGATTCGCGGCTGGGATTGGTGGTTTTCCAAAGCCATTCGCCTAACCCTTATAGCCAGGTATTCTGGTGTTAGCCATTTGCCTTCCATCCATCCCTGGACATTCCTTGGCGTACCTTATCCTCATTTTGCGATTTAATGAGGTTGTGTTTTTTCTGCGCGGCTCTTTGCGGGCGTTGTGCGTCTTTGTGCGGGTGGGCGGCCATTTGCGGGTGTTTTGTACTGAGGCATTTATGGCAGTTTGCCGGTCTTTGCTTACAACTAAGGCAAACACAAAGAAATTACAACAAGATATTTCTCGTTAGAGTGTCCAGGTCTATACATTGTTCTCCGAAAGTGTCAGCAGGCATGGCCTGTTGCACGAGTCTCTGTCTCACGAGCCTTTTTTGAGACAGTGGCCCATACCAATCAACTCACATGCAACCAAAGCGAATCAATATGTTGAACGCTGAGGGCTTCCAGTGTGGCAAGCACTTCTAAACACGGTTCGAACATGCTAAGTTGTCATTGCCAGATCCTTTGGTTGCAAGTAAGAGACGCACATGGGTGTTTCCAGTGTTGGCAAATTGTGTCGCTCTTAGCCCCCGTTTATTTCACTACGTTGGTGTTTCGGTTGCGAGTGAGTATGAGCGAGCTGAGTGTCCATGTCATCAGTGTCAGCTTGAGTATCTTGAAACGGGCAGACCATGGCAACTGCCCGCCAACAAAGATGGACCAAACATGGGCAACAAGGTGAATCGTCAAGCCGAAGAGCAGCCAATGGACCCTCATCTTGCACACCACGCAGTGCAATTTCTCTCGATGGGCCTAAACAACTAAAACGGGGTGATGGGGGAGTTAACAGCCAAACACTGATCATGAAACAATCCTGTGCCCCATTCATTGGCTTCCTTTAATCTAAAGTTTACATGAATGACTGTAAGGCAACCCTTCCCTTTTCAGGGACTCCAGACAAGCCAAACTTGTATTTGCAATTTCTACCATTCCAAAACCTGCAATCAGAGAAGTTGGATCCCGGGCAAGGGACTTGCAGCGCGTTTTACTCTCCGGAATCGGTCGCCATGAACAAACGAACACACGAGGTTGCCGAGGGCACTTCACCCGCGGGGAAGCCTCCCTCGTGCCAGCACCAGTGGGCAGCTTCTCCCGGTATGATCCCCACCGCCTCAGAAATGGAATTGGGGGAGGGGGGTGACCCCTGGAATTCCAGTTGTGGTTCCATTTTCCCTTGAATGGGGAAGACAAGATAAATGGAATTGGGGACCCAGGTAGGGGGGATCCGGTATGAGGCTCTCATCCATCCACAGCATGCGCAGGTGGAGCTGACGGGAGGTGCTTACCCCTGAACCGGGCTGAGCCGCTGCAGCCATCGTTTTTGTTATGGGGGCCAGGGTGGGCCCAAGCGAATCCAGGAAAAAACCTGTTTTGGCCTTGCGGCTGGCGCGAGCGTTTTCAAAGGTTTGCCTGAGGGTCCACAATGCTGCTGGGCTGACTATCCCATAGACTCTCTAGAGGGTTAGCTAGCTCCCAAACCGCCCCAAACAAGTTCAAGATGAACTTAGAGCTGGTAAGACAACTTCACGGGGTATGACAAGGTTACCTGTTTTGGTTTGGGGTCCTTGTAGTAGGAATTGTTTTTGAGTTTCTCGCGGCTCCGACTCTATGTCCCTTTTCGGAAATGCTCTTCACCATTGATACGTTTTTGAAACGGCCAGCTGTTTGGCGAGCATGGCTTGGTTGGGGGACCCGCTCGTCCAGGGAGAACACTTCCCAAGCATGTTCAGTTTTCCTGTAACATTCTACCATGTACCAGCTTTCAGGTTCCAAGCTTGTTGTTTAGGGGAACTTGCCCCTTTTTGACGCCCAGATCCATGGTGCTGACAAGCGGCCTAATTATTGGAGTAGTTGGAACCGCGTTTCCAGAAAGAACCGTTTCACACGGGCATATCGCGTGTTTGTCGGGCGAATCAGTCAGGTTGGCAGGACACGCGAGAGCTGGTTGAGTTGCACAACTGCGTTCAACAAGCAGACGCACATTGGGCAGGTTCCTTCGGAAACCACCCGCAGGTTGTGAAAAAACGTGCGAAGAACGCAACACAAAACCTTTGACAGACTTCTCTTTTGAAGCAGACCTTGGCCCCAGGGAAGCCCAAACGAGAGTGATTGAAAACATGTTGGTGAATAGTCTTCCTGCTGCAACTTCACATTGACACCCAAAGGCGGTTTTACAAGCGGATATTCCTCGAAACATGAGGTGTTCTTTGTTATGTTTCATTGATTCATCTTACTCTGCAACAGAAACATGGGTCGCAACCATAACCGAAGGCAGAAGAAAGGCTCAACATACCGCACATTCCGTAAATACCGGTGACATGTTGTAATACGATGCTCGTCAGGATCAGGGTGTAATCCGAACAAATCTTGGTGGTTCCTAGCCATCCCCTTGGCTTTTTAGGCTTTTAGTGTTTAGTGGTTGGATTTCCATTTATCCCACTAAAAGTCAAACTTTTAGCGGGGGATTCCGAAAACGGACAGCCCAGAAATGTTCTCGCCTTTTTTGCCTTTGGGACCCTCCGGCTGCCTGTACAGGTCGCTATCCGTAGGGGCTTTGGAGCCCATGTGTCTCGAAGAGGGGTGCACTGACCTGGGTCCAGGGGTTCTCCAAGAATTGCTTTCAGGCTGCCTTCAAACCAGTAAAGGGGAAGTGTGAAAAAATTGGCTGTGTCTCCTTTTGTTACTTCGGATTTTTTACCCCAACCAAAAAAGGTACCCTCAAATAAAATCCTTTCCCTATATCACTGTAAGGGCCCGAAGTCAGGAGCAGACAAATGGGTTTCCTTTTGGCAAGAATAAGTTTTGTGCTTTGTTTGTACTATGAGTTGGTCAAAGGTTCTTCCTTTCTCGGAAGTCTGGGGCAGAGTTCTAGTCGGAATCTGGTAGCTAGGGAGGAGCATCGTTTGAATGACGTGTCCGACCTTTTGGAGATCGTGACATCCTTTGCTTTGCTTTTAGAGAATCGAGCGGTTGCCCAATTGGAAGCACCAGAGAAAGAAACGTGGCCGATTTTGGCCGAAAGGGCAACGCTGGGACAATGAGCGAGCAATTGTAGCGAGCTCACCTGGGGATAAAATGAGCCCACGCATGATTCAGGCTCTTTAATTACTTGC